TTGGCCAGGAAAAACTTGAGTCTTGTCAGGGAAAAAACTGAGTTTTGTCAGGGAAAATTGAGTAATCAGTGTCAGTTTTACAGTGTGAAATAGACAACCCAGTGTATAATTGGTAATTTGACCACTACAGATTCTTCTTAAGATTTTTCTTTCCAGACTCCCACCCTTGCCTATCCCCCTGGGGCATTAAGTTGACTAGTGCATTATTTTGGTAAACTAATACTCTTTTTTCTAAAACATTGTTTCTTTTTTTATTCTGCAGATTGTTGTTGATGTGCATGCTAGATTAGGAACCTAAAAAAAGCCCTGTAGAACTACTGTATAATATAGACCTGGTGGTGGTGGTGGCGGTGAGCTTAACTATGACTAAGCATACTACCTTTAATATAGAATAGTTGAAGGATCCTGAATTTTCATATTGGCTAACTAAACATGGATCTAGCATGAAGAAAGCAAGATGTGTTCTCTGTGGTAAGGACTTTGTACTTGGCAACATGGAAAAATAGGGCCTTGCAGTCCTATGCTGAAGGAGTTAAGAATGAGAAGAAGTAGTGCTGACCATAAAGATTAATCAAGAACAGAAGTTCATCCAAAGACTCATGAGATTTACACCACTTTCTCTGGCTTCAACTATTAGTTCAGTATGTAATAGTTCTGATGAAGGAGATCTAGCAGTTCCTCCTCCACCTTCAGGATAGGCTCAACACGTACCTGTCAATGCCTCAGCATCTGTCTCCACCTCCCATACAGGAACCTGTGGATAATTATGTGAAGTCTTATTTTAGTAAAGATGAAGTTGCTGAGGCAGAAATTATCTGGGTTCTAAAACCTGTTATGAACCACAGTTCTTAATCTTGAAAATCGTGACAAATTATTTCAGAGGATGTTCTCAGACTCAAAAATAGCTCTTCAATTTTCATGTAGGAGAACTAAATGTACATGTATTATTAACTCTTTCAGGGTTGACAGGTCCTCTCCTAGACTTGTTCTCAGGGTCGAAAAATTTTCGAAAAAAAAAAATAATTTTTTCTTATGAAAAGATAGTTTTTTTTTTCTAAACATTATAGGCTAAAAAAAATTTTTTGCCATCAATACTTGCCAAGATATGGAGGCGTGAAGTTGACAGAAAGTGAACCGCATATGGAATCATCAACTGCCGGTCACCCGGTAATCGTTTATTTTTTTTATTTTTTTACTTTTTTCTATTATTTTTTGATATTTTTTTTTCAAGTAACTTTTATGGCCTGTGAAACCAATATGAGCACTATTTTGTAAGTTTTTTCTCTTTTTATACTACACAATAACTGCACAAACACTGTTGTCACTATATTGTTTACAAAACTTGTTTACACAAACGAACATTATAAAATGTTGTTTATTACTATTTTTCTATATTTTATATACACATACAGTCACAGGACATGTTTCTAGAAGTTCTGGAGCCTGTGGAATTTTTTGAAACATGGTGTCATGCACAATGGTGTTTTATACTCTTCACACATAAAACGAGTGTTTCTGCATTGTTGTGGGCGTTTTTTTGTATGTGCACAGACGTAACACCTCTTCTGAGCCTTTTTCTTGAAAGCAGTAGCAGGCAGTTTTGTTAGGAAGTGATCACCATGCTTCAGACGAGAAGGTAGTTGTTGATAATTTAGTGGGCGGTTTTCTATTGCAGGTGCTTGAATGCTCTTTGTCTGATGACAGACAAACAAAATTTGCCATATGGTAGTTTGTTTCTGGTCCTCATCTTATACATATTATAAGCATTGAGCATGGAAATGCCCAGAATATGGAAAAAAAGTTTTATGTACCACTTATAACTCTTGCGAACACA